GCAAGTGGTCATTCCGCTAGAGAACTTCCCGCAGGACTCTGACCGTATTCCTTTCGCTTTCCACACGCTTTCTCCTCCTCCAGCCAGCCGACCCCCCTTCCTTCCTCTAGGATTTGGTCTCTAGTCTATTCTGGTTATATTGTCGCCTCTAGCAGTCCCCGCTTCCCTTCAGGGTTGGTCGGGGGCGTCGAACAAAATGGAGGCAGTTCAAACGCGCGGACACACACACACACACATACACACACACTTTGACCCAAATGGCCATTTCCCCTTTTCGCTAATTATTAAGCTAAACTCTTTTGAGAAAAGAATGAAGAGTGGTTTCTCCCCTCCCCTTTCTGGGGTCTCGCATGAGCCCATTAACGAGATTATTATACCCTGCAGAGGAAGTCAGGTAAATTAAACGCAAATGACTGGAAATTAAGTTTCGGATTGTTATGTGCTTGGAAAGAGGGAGAGTGTATATGTATCAATAGATGCCTTCAGGGGTCACACCCGCCCACAATGTGGGGAATCAGGGCTCCTTGGGCCTGGAGTTGGTGGTGGTGGGGTGCTACCTATATGACAAAGGAAACTCCTGGGAAGAGTTTTATGATCCCAAATAAAGTCATGAAGCCGTTCAGCCCTCTGTGTGTGTGTTTAAGGGCCAGTTCTGAACTTTTATGGTACCCATATAAGTTTCTCTTTTCTGCCAAGAAGGCCTGCTGGTTTCACACTTCTGAATGGGGTTTTGTTGTGGTTGTTTAAGGAAGATGCTATTTTGTAAAGGATATGCCGCCGCCACCCCCCCCCCTTCTGCTTCAAGTTTCTGGACTTTTCCTGAACTTTAACCCCCACCCCCCAAAAAATTCCTTGGTCCCGTTTGTAGACTGGGGGGGGGGGAGTTTGGGTGTTATTGAAATCCTCCTGGTTCATCTGCCCTCCCACCTTTTACTTCTCATTTTTTAAAGTTGGCGTCTGGGAATCAGAGAAGACAGAAACGGTGGGAGAGGAAGGGGCGGGAGAGAAAGCAGAAACCTGAGGCCCTTTTCCAGCTAAAAGCAGCTGTAAATAAGCCCCTTTAATCTTTTCTCTTCTGCCCATTTTGAGTTATGCCGTCCGCTGGTCTAGATGGATTCCCCCGGCAGAAGGAAGGCACACGTTGGTGCACTCCCTGCAACAAGAGGAGTGTGTCTTTCCTCTGCTAGCCTGCTCTTGAGCTGTTTCCAAATAATATTATGATTTGAGATATTATAAATTCCAGAGCGTTTTAGACTGGAGGCCCAGAATAGAAGGAAACATGGATAATAATAATAATACAGCAAGAATCCTGTGAAGATACATCTGCAATTCCCAAGAACTTGGCTAGATCTCGATTTGCAGAACACTACCTACCAGTCAAATATCTGAGTTTGACAATTCCTAATAATAATAATACATCTCTGCCAGAAGACAATAGTTCAGCAGCATTCTACACACAGAAACACATACATACACAAACAGTAGGGTATCTTTCGAAAATGTCCATGATGCTAAATAAAAAAGTAGAAATTATCTCAGTTAAGTATCCCAGTCACGTTACCCCCCCCAAATACTTGCCAGACAGCTTGAAACAACTGTGCGTCGCTTGTGAACGATCTCTTAGGTGATAATAATATAAATAATAATATCCCATTATTCTTTTTCTCTCCCACTGAAGAGAAAAGGCTTGAATTATGTTACCTCCCAAGTTTTATTCCACCCCCTCACCCTCGGACTTGAAAATGATTTTTTGAGTATATTCCGTGGTTGTTTTTACTTGAGTAATGGGTAAAAGTTCTTGAATTAATGTGAATCAGTTGCAGTGAAGATCGTTGCTTCTTTTTGGATGAGTGTGTGTGTGAGGCCCCTGCTTTTCTAGGCATTGAACTATGGTTCATTAGAAAGAGAATTTCACTTGGTCCTGATTCCCCCCCCCCTCCAAGTTTTTTTTTTGTGTGTGAAAGAAGAAAAAAATAGAGATAATGCAAACAAGTTTCGAACTCAAAAGTTTCCTTAGTCGTAAACAGGGATGGCAAAAAGACAGAATTGCTCTGTATAAATTTCCCATTATGTCTGACCCCAACACACACACACACACATGCACGCTGCATTTCTAAGGACACTTTTTAAAAAGCAACGTTTCAAGGGTCATAAGCCAAGGAGCTAATTTACTCACTCGTTTCAACACTCAAGCATTCAAACTTCAAAGATTAATCCAGATATTCTTGCTCCAGACGCTGAAGAGCTGTGTTGCTTTCATATCCCTCAAATAAAGTATTTTTGCATTCAGTTCAACTTTCCCCCCACCTCTCCCTCCCTTCATTCCCTTTTGTTTTCCCACACCAATAAAGCAGATCTATTTAAAGTTTTGATGGGGGGGGGTAGAGACCTGCAGGAACCAATATCACAGGAGCCAGAAAGGGGAGGTGAGTGAGTGTTCCCCACCCCCCCACGGCCCACTTCCTTTGCCTGTTATTTCCTTCAGTTTTAAGCATAATGTCCAGGGCAGCGACGAAATCATGTGGACTTCCTCGCCATTCGAGAGCAGATTCCTAACAAATGAAGGCAGAAGCCCGCTAGCCCTTTCCTGGCTCCTTCGTCCTCGTTAGGCAAAAATTCGCAGGGGTTATTCTATACGGATCATATAGCCATGTAAATCCGATCTGGGAGCAATTGTGTGCGCGTGTGGCGAATCCTAGGAGCGGAGCCGAGCCCTCTGGAAAGGAGAGATGACAAATAGGTAGCTTGACTTACGTCCCCCGTTTGCTCAAATTGCCCTGGAGATATTTTGTTGATAGGAAGTTTCAGGTAAACTGAAGAGGTCCATAAGGCACGCCGAAGGATGGTTTGGGATATTTGGAAGTTGGAGAGAAGTCAGGTTACCAGAACCCTTCGTGGGTAGACAAGAATGGAGATAGAGAGAGATAGATGATAGATAGATAGATAGATAGATAGATAGATAGATAGATAGATAGATAGATAGATAGATGGATGATAGGCAGGCAGGCAGGCAGACAGACAGACAGACAGAGAACGGCAATACTCTGTAGTACATTTGATAGTGCAGTTTTAAATGCTTTCCTTGTCAGAGGGATTTCCCCCCAAGTCCTCTTGAGGTGCCTTCGGCCACAGCCGAAACACGATTTTTTAAATGGGGTCAATTTGGAATGAAATTGTCCACCCGGATTGTGCAGATCTAGAGGAAGTGGTGAAGCAAGTGAATTATAACCTCCCCTGCGTTTGAGGGGGCTAGAGGAGGGGAAACATGAAGGCAAACGCCCGAACTTCTGTCTTGGGTGGTTGCTCACCCGGTCCATTCATTTCGCCCTTTGAAAAGAGTGGCAGGAGGAGATGGAAATTCTGAGCGAGGTCCTTTTTCCTCCTGAGTGAGATCCAGTGTAGTTTTAAGAGAAACCAACAAAGCAAACCCTTCAAACGCAGAGAGAGAGAGAGAGAGAGAGAGAGAGAGAGAGAGAGAGAGAGAGAGAGAGAGAGGGAGAGAGACAGAGAGAGAGTAGAGAGATTGTCTGCTTTGTAGGGGTCTCCACAGTGAAAGGTTGAAGGTTCACCTCCTATCCACAACACCGGCCCCATCTACCAGATGACCATTCCCCACTACCTTGAACATTCCCCCCCCCCATGCTTTGGTGATCGATAAAAGAGTATTCTTGGCCGTCAGACCAACCGGCTGCCCCTTAACTCTGAATTGTCCAAAGTCCTGGCCTTAACCGTAAAAACGCAAGAGGGCACAGTTCTTTAAAGACTATGACAGAGCCGAGCTTCCTTCCAAGTCTCACCCATTCGTCTTACAGACTTTATAACTGGATACCGGAGAGATTCCAAGCGGAGAACTGCGTTAAGTCTGGCGTTGTCAGATGTGTGTGAGCTCCGTACACACACACACACACAAACAAACTGACACACGCTCACACTCTTCCCTGTTCTTTTATGAACATTTAACGAGAGGTGTGGGGGGAAATTAGGGCAGAGAGAACGTGTGACCAAAACGGAATTCTCCATCCGTCCCCACGAGCAAATGCATTCAAGGAGATATTTTCAGATCGATTTTAGAGTTCTTTCTAAAAAAAAAAAAAAATGCTTCGTGAAGTAGATCTCTCACGTTCGCACCCACTCTAGGAGTGGTCCAACTCGCGCCCACCCTGTGCGGAAATCCCTCTTCGGCTGAGAATATATTCTCTCTTTATATATTGAATTCTAATTCCCTCTCCTTACATCTTTATTACCTCCACCTCTCCCCAAATCCAAAAATCACAAAATAAAAAAAGAGAAATCCATACTAACACCACCACCACCCCCGTCTCCCCACCCCGCCACCGCGCTGTAAACTTTTCCAGAGGAGGACAAAAATCACAGGGTCTCCCCCCCGCCCGTCTCCCCCCCCTCCCCCGCCCGTCCACCACAACCATGGACTAAGTTCCGTCTCGTTTGTTTTTTGCTTCTTGCCTTTAATATTTTCGGTCCCCCTCTCCTCTTCCTCCTCCTTCTTTTCTTTATTTATTAATTTTAAAACAAACAAACCACAGCAAACTCCAGAATGTTTGGGTAGATTTATGTTTTCGCAGATAATTAGTATGTGGTTAACGGGGGGAGGGCGAAGGGTATCTATTTGTGTATGTGGGGCGGGCGGAAAAAGGGGGGGTCGCGTTTCTCTTGTTTAAAAGTGATGGTTGTTGGTGGCAGGGATGCTTTGGCTGGTTTGTTCTAGGGGGGTCCCCTGCGCAAAGCTAACCCCTCTAGGGTGCGATTTCGCAGCCTTCCGCGCCTGCTATTGGTCAGCGCGTGATCAGATGGTTCTCCTTCCGTATGTCCCTGGTTGGCACGCGGCCATCCCCCTTCAGCTAAAACCCAATCTCCCATATACTGCTAATAGCTAAACCGCTTGGACTATAAAACGCAACAAATCATAAAGACCAAGGGAAAGAACAGCCGCGGTTCCTCTGCTTGTTTATTATTGTTGTTGTTACTATTATTGTTATTATTATTATTGTTTCCAATGAGTTCCTATTTTGTCAACTCTACTTTCCCGGTGAGCCTAGCCGGGGGTCAGGAGCCGTTCTTGGGACAACTCCCCTTATATTCCACGGGGTACGCGGACCCTTTAAGGCACTACCCTTCCACTTACGGCACTGGGGGTGGCGGAGTCCAGGAGAAGGGTTACCCGGGCGCGCCTTACTACCAGCAAGCCAACGGAGCTTACAACCGGAGCCCTGCCTGCGATTACGGGACATCTGGTTTTTACAGGGAGAAAGAGACCGCCTGCTCTCTTTCCAGCCTAGAGGACCCTGTTCCGTTCGGCCAGGAGCAAGTCCGGAAGTCAGACTGCTCGCAGAACAAACACGTTTTTGGGGATAGCGAGGATCAGAAGTGTTCGACTCCAGTGTATCCCTGGATGCAAAGGATGAACTCTTGCAACAGTGAGTTCCTCTCGATTTTTCTTTCTCTCTGCACATTATCTATCTATCTATCTATCTATCTATCTATCTATCTATCTATCTATCTATCTATCTATCTATCATCTATCTATCCATCCATTCATCCATCCAACCATCCATCCACCAACCCACCCACCCCGACACCGCATTTCTTTCTGAGCGGGACGCTGGCTAACTCAACTTCCACACAGAGCAATTGGGGGGGGAAACTTTCTTCAAAGTTTTCTGCTACTTCCAGAGCTCGCTTCTCAAAAAGGAACGCTTTACTTTCCCGTTTTAAAACATTCTTCGTGCAGACCCCCCTCCCCCCCTCCCGTTTGTCTGTTTCTTCAGCAACTTTGTCCCTCTCTAAAGAAGGCACGGGGATTATTGATTGACCGGCGCTGTCTTGTAAGCGCAGTGTTGGCTGTCATTCAGTTGGAGTGATTTAGAGACGTGGCTGATGTACTTACACACACACACACACACACTCACGGCAATCGGCATCAGCGAAAGCCACCCAAGGATTGATTTTAATGGATCTGGATTGCCCCCTCCCCACCCACCCCCCACATCTACCCCCGATGCCAATTCGCATCCCGGGGAGGGCGTTCTGTAACCCCAGCCGTTTGAATAATGTCAGAAGGGCTTAAATATTTGAAAGGAGAGAGCTACATTTTTAATGAAACTCGCGCATAATGAAATGGCTGTCTGTACAGGAGTTGCAGATAGTTTCTCTTTCACTCACTCACTCCCTCATTCATTCCCCCCTCCCCTCCTCCCCCTCCTCCTATGATCGCCAAGTGCCAGAGTTGCCATCAAAATAATGCTGTTGTCTTTTTTGTAAAAATCAAAGGAGTAGCACCATTTCTCCTTCCTTTAATCCCTATATTTGGATTTATTATTTCTTGACTTTTTTTAAAAAAGTCCAAAATGTTGCCCATTGAGCTGGGGGGGTTGAAGGGTGAAGAAATGATACCCTTCACTCCAACCCTGGAATTTGTTACAGTTAGCAAGAGAGGCGCTTGTTCCTTGCAAGCTTTCCAGAGCAGGAAAAGGGGGGCGGGGGGCGGCCAGTGATGGCTGCAAGGAGTAAAGGGGAAGTGAAGGTAAAGGCAATTAATAACTTTGGTCGTCCATTTCTGTTCGGATAGGAGTGCAAAAAGAGGCGGGGGGGGAGGAAGAGAGAGGAAGGTCTTAGACAGTCTCTCAAGACAAAGTCCTGCGAGCTTTCTCCACTCAGAACAGGCACATCAGTTTGGAAGCCAGGTCCCATTGATTTCTATGAGCCATTACGCTCCGGTGTCACTTCGATCTCAAAAGCCATTTACGTGGAGTAAATTGTCTTCAAAGCCTGCGCTTCCAGTTGAAGCTTGAGAGTCTCATAGAATCCCGTCAGGGGGGCGCTGAAATCCCCCGAGGGTAAGGGCAGGTGGGAAACAGACTGAGGGATCCCTTTCCTTACATTTGCCTTTTAAAAACAAACAAACAGGGCTAGTCACCTTTCGAGTAACACAGAACTCTTCTTCAGTGAGTAAATAAAGAAACAGGAAGTAAATCGAGGTGTTGCATGGTCAGGATTCTACATGCCACGTTGAGAGAGTTATGGAGTTAAGAGCAAACTCCTGCCTCACCACTTGCGTCCGGGACTCTGTTGGGCAAACTTGGGCAAACTTGGTTCAAAGTTGTCACCGGAACCAAGTGGAAGATATCTATACTGACAGCAGCCTGGTTTCCAAATGGCACAGAAAGCGGTGTGCCTTTGGTCGTGTGGAACAGAGGATGGGGGGGGGGACTGGGCTGCGGGAGGGAGTTGGAAGGAAGTCAAGCACCCCCACCCAGCCACACACCAGCTGGACCGCCATTGTCCCCCCATCTCTCCGACTGCGGCGGGCGTTCGATGTTCCAGTCCACTCCTTCTCTTTTCTCCCCCTTCCCAGGTTCCTCCTTCGGGCCGAGCGGCAGGCGAGGGCGGCAGACCTACACGCGCTACCAGACCCTGGAGCTGGAGAAGGAGTTCCACTTCAACCGCTACTTGACCAGGCGTCGCCGGATCGAGATCGCCCACGCGCTCTGCCTGACCGAGCGCCAGATCAAGATCTGGTTCCAGAACCGACGGATGAAGTGGAAAAAAGAGAACAAGCTACTCAACTCCACTCAGCTGAGCGCCGAGGAGGAAGAGGAGAAAACGACGGAATGAGAGAGGGGGAGGGGAGGGAAAGGGCGGAAAGGAAGAAGGAAGGAGGCCGAATGGCAACAGTTTCAGAGGGCCCCAGGGGGGGGGAGGCACAACCAAGACACACTTTTTTGGGGGGTAAAATATCCGAGACTCTATGGAGGTGTGGAGCCCACCTTCCCTTCGCACCCTCTCTCGCATCTTGTCATCTGCCCTGTCCTATCCAAGTTTCTAGTCCCCTTTGTTTTCCGGCCCTTTCTATTGGTCCCTCCCCCCACCACAAAATGGATCTCCCTCTCTGTCTTTTAACACTGAGTTGTCCTCCTTAGGAATCTGGCTAACTCTTGTATTTAAATGGAAGTGCTGCAATATATGTATCAGATTTTGGGGGTGTTGATTGTCTTCATTTTGTAAAACACACTCACTCACCCACGCGCGCACACACACGTCTCATGCACGATTTTACTTCTGTGTTGCTTTTTTATATAAAACGGTTAAGTTGGTCGACCCTAAGGTTCTTTGCCATTGAAGAGTTTTTTTGGGTTTTTTTTGTAAATCTATGGGAAAAAGAACTCTTGCTTACCTGGAAAAAAAGAATGGCGAAATCAAACCAAAAGGGGTGATTTTTTTTTTTTTGGTTGCTGTTGTTCGTTTTATTTTATTACATTTTATTGTACATGTTGTGTTTGTAGTTTGTGTTAGTTATGAAGATAAAAAAATCCTCTAATAAAAAAGAAAAGCAAACAGACTTCTTGAGAATAACACTTGGCCACGTTCGTACTTTGGGGTGCGTTTTCCTTATTCCCCCCCCCTTCTGCTGAAATATTCAATCTGCTCCCGTTGTCTTCCTGTTAAAAAGAGAAATCCCTGCAAGAAGTTCTGTTCCTAGGCTGATTAGACAAGCAATTCCTTCAGCTCTACAGAAGTTAAGAGATGAAAGATAAATTTGGTCCACCCCCCCTTTCAGCTCTTTAGCCTAACCTTAAATGAAAGACCTTTTCACCAGGAGTATCTCCAGAAGTGACATTTAACTTTAATATGGATCTTTTTTATTGTTACAGCACAAAAGAGTTATGAGGGGGGGAGCTCAACATCTGTAATAAATCAAAGAAACAAGCAAAACGGTGCGCCCCCCTCCCCGTCATACATCTGCTAAAAGATATCAAACATTTGTTTAGCCTGTTTCAAACGCTTGACCCCCCTTCCTCTGATTCCATTCGCCCCCCAAACCCCCAAATTAAATTAAAATGTGACCCACAACCTATTCATTCTTTCTGCATACGAAGCTGAAAGGTTATTTCAGCCTGGAAATAAATGGATAATTTAAATACAGCTAGACTCTTTCAAATAGCAATTTTTAAATGTGCAGCCATTCAGATTTCTCTCTCCCCGCCTTCCTCTTTCTTTCTTTCTTTCTTTCTTTCTTTCTTTCTTTCTTTCTTTCTTTCTTTCTTTCTTTCTTTCTTTCTCTCCCCCCCTTTGCTTTTCCGTGTCTGGATGTCTGGACAAAGAGCATTTTTACAAAGGTCTCTTCTCCCAATAATAACATGAGCTTCTGCATGCTTAAAAATAAGTTCACTTTGTGCCAGGTGTCCTTGTTTCTCCTTCTATGGGGGCCAGCAGCCTGCAAATAATTCTGACCTGCTATGTTGTGCCCAAATGTCCTGAAATGTGTTTTTAATGAGCGTAAAAGGTGAGATTCTGAAAGAACGTGTTGGGTCTTTCGCTCCAACCGCCCCAAGTACACAGGTATCAATGCATCCTTCCTTCTCCCCTTCTACCTTAATGACAGCCACTTTTATAATCCATTGCTGAAGAAGCCTCGCAGCTGTAGGACACACTTATTCTTATTGCTCCTCTTTTCATTGCCGGTAATTATTGTAATTATATGTCACGTTCAAAATGGCTCATAAAATTTCCAATGAGTTGCAGGCAGGATTTTGGAAATTCCTGAACTATCTTGAAAGAAGTCATGAGGGTGGGGGGATTTCAAGTGCAGAACAAAAGGTTTGAATCAATTTGGACCCTTTTTTTTTTTGCAAGGAATTTCTACTTAGCAAATATTTATTTGGAATTTCCAGAACGGGTGGATGCCCCTTTCCTTTGTACCAGTCCCCCCCAACAGATTGTCAGTTTCCCCACACACGATTTCCCCCACTGATGATTAAACCCACCGAGTTTTGAGTTCTTTACCTTCTAATGTGTACACAATAAAGGTACTGGAATAATAACAGCAATAACAATGACGAATAATAATAATAATAATAATAACAATAATAATAATAATAATGTAGGTTTATGCTATTTTTGAGAGTCATGCTATCTTCAGCGATACAGGAGGAAAGCATGAGGGGAAGAAGGAAAGGAAAGGAAAGGAAAGGAAAGGAAAGGAAAGGAAAGGAAAGGGAAGGGAAGGAAAGGAAAGGAAAGGAAAGGAAAGGAAAGGAAAGGAAAGGAAAGGAAAGGAAAGGAAATTGGCGTTCCAGTTTTCATCGGGGTGGAGTCTCTTTTCTGCTGCAGCTTGTCTAATAGCACCGCTATAAAGTTTTGGAATGATATTTTACTATTGTCACGAGTATTAGTAGTAGTAATAACAATCTGGAGTTACTAGTCGTGCTGGTAGTAATAATATTATAATCTGCAAAAGAGCAGCAGTGCTGGATTCGAGGGACACGGTCTGTTGAGAAGCAGAGAAAACGAGGAAAACAGAGGGAAAGAAAGAGAATCTGAAACGAGACTTTTAAAGGAGAAAAGTTTTATTTCAATACAAGACAGAACACAGAAAGAGACCGCTTGACTCTTTTTTTTTCCGGGGGAAAAGGGTGGGCGAGCTAACCTCCATGCCTGCCAACTCTCCCTTTCCCCAGTAGGTGGCGCAGTCCGCCAACAAGGCGCAACCTCGGGTTTTTCTGCTTCCTCCCCCCCCTCGTTTCCTCCCCCTTTTGGAAGCCGCATTGACATGGGCCTAACGATTCTCGGATCGTCATTATTTGTAACCATAGAGCATGAATTGCCTCTTGAGGTCATCAGTGAGAATTTACGACTGGTCAACAAAAGCACGTGATTCCCAAACGCACCCCCCACCCCACCCCCATATTTGGCCGCATACATAGCAAAAACGAAGTACAGTGCATCGCTATAATTCATTAATACATCATAAATCCTCAAGCACAGGGGTTATAACGACCACGAGCCCCACAAATCAAGCCCTCCAAAATACAACCCCAAATGAGTTCTTACTTTGTAAACTCGTTCTCAGGACGCTATCCTAATGCCCCCGACTATCAGCTGCTAAATTATGGGACCAGCAGTTCTATGAACGGATCTTATAGAGATCCCGGCACCATGCACGCCGGCTCTTACGGTGGATACAACTACAATGGGATGGATCTGAGCATCAGCCGTTCCACCTCCGCCTCCAGCCACTTTGGAGCGGTGGGGGAGAGCTCCCGCGCCTTCCCCGGCCAAGCCCCGCCAGACAGCCGCTTCCGACAGGCGTCGAGCTGCTCCTTGTCCGCGCCCGAGTCCCTCCCGTGCTCCAGCAGCAGCACCGGCGGCGGTGGCGGCGGCAGCGGCGGCACCAAGAACAACAACGGCGGCGGCGGCAGCAACGGCGAGAGCCATGGAGGCAAAGCCGCCGCCTCTTCCCCCGCCGAACAGGCTGCCTCCGCCGGCGCCGCCAACGCCGCCGCCTTCGCCGAGCTCGACGAGACCAGCGCGTCCTCCGGCACCGAGGAGAGCGGCTCCCAAGTCGCCGGCAACGTCGCCAGGGCGGCCAGCGACTCCCTCGCCGCGGCCACGCCGGCCCCCGAAGGGCAGAGCCCGCAGATCTTCCCCTGGATGCGGAAACTTCACATTAGCCATGGTACCCGCGGCGCCTCTTTCGTCGCCTTTTCTTTATCCTTATTAGTATTACGGTGTTTTTTTTAAAAATATAGTCTTTATTGCTTCCCTTCCGGTTTCAATCAGAAAGGATTTGTTTTTAAAAGAAGACTTGACTCAGGGAGGGTTTCATGTCGGGGGCTTTTCGCCCCTTCCTCTCAAAAAATATAAAGACATGGAGTGGAGAGATAGGAGGTAGGCACAATAACAACAATAATAATGGAATTTATGGGCGAGTTTATTAATTTTATATATATATATATATATATATATGTATGTATTGTTGTTTATAAGACAGAGATGAGTCTGTCAGCCTCTCCCCCCCCACACACACACATTTTATTGTGGGGAGGATGGCAAACTCCTTTCGCCTCCCCTTCCCCCTCACCGAAATGAAAGGCAGCATTTCAAAGGAGGGTTTTGAGTTGCCGAGTTTAAAGGGGGGGGGGATGGATATCGACCGGCTTAACACGCCGGTGCGAAGCGCTTGGAGGCGACAGCAAGCGCCAGGGGTTTCTCTGGGACTTGGTCCCAGTGAAATGTAGCTGGGCTCGAGGAGTGGGGGGTGGGGAGAGAGAGTGACAGGATGTGGGGAAAGGCGCACAGCGCTCTGGAAGGGACACGCTGGCCACCTCTCTCCCCTGCCCCCCTGCTCGCCCCTTCTGTCTTGATCCACGTCGACCCATAAGTGTACAGACTGGAGTTTTCAGACTTAAAAGGGGGCTAATGCTGCCATCTTGCGTTCTCTTACTTGGGAGTAAGGGCCGTGGCACGGAGTGGGGCTTACTTCCGAGTCAAACGTGCAGAGGCTCCGGCTGTAGGTGGGAGAAACTTGTTTGAGGAGCTGAGGAATGTAATGAAGTGGGGGGAGGTAAGAAAACAGGCAGGCAGACCCAGGCTGCCCATAAAATTAGGTGGAATTAAAGGCTGGAGCGAAGGAATTAAAGAGGAGGAATAGTTCCAGGGCTGTGGGGAAGGAGGAGGGGAAACGCCGTTTTGCACGTGTGTCGCGATGGGGTGGGGGGCCCCGCTTTTTGCCGAGACCCTACCCAAGCCTCCTCACCCCAACCGGGAAGGGCTCCGTTCCTCTGACTCTGACGCAAAGCGAGCTTGAGACCAACAGACCCCCAACATCTTGTCCCTGTCTTATCCATCCAGATATGACTGGGCCGGACGGGAAGCGAGCGCGGACGGCGTACACCCGCTACCAGACCCTGGAACTGGAGAAGGAGTTTCATTTTAACCGCTACCTCACCCGCCGGAGGCGAATAGAGATCGCCCACGCCTTGTGTCTCTCCGAAAGACAGATAAAAATCTGGTTCCAGAACAGGCGGATGAAGTGGAAGAAAGATAACAAACTCAAAAGTATGAGCCTAGCCTCTGGTGGGAGCGCCTTTCAGCCATAAATTATACCGAGGAGGGCATATGAAGGCTATGAGAAGGTGGAGTGGGGGTGGGGGGAGGAAGGAAGAGGGGAAAGAAAGCAAAAACGAGCAAAAAGTTTCCAACAAAAGAAGCAAACAGCCACTGTGGGTTTTTTAAAGGCAAAATTCCAAGCACTGCGAAGTGAAGCACTTTCCATTCAGCTTGCTGTTGGGTTTGTTTTTGGTTTAGGGTTTTGGAGGAAGCCTCTTCCGTGGTACTATCGTTCCCAGGACCGTGTCCTTTGCTGCAATTTCCCCCACCCCTCCCTTAAATTAAAAAAAAGAATAAGAATAATAATAATAATAAAGTTATTTCCAGAGGCTTCTTTAATGATCTAATAAGTGTTTTAAATGTTTTGTGTCCGTGCTGATAAAGGATGCTTTCTGGAAAAGAAAAAAAAAAGCTAGCATGTTTGTTTGTTTTTTAATTTTGTTCTGTTCTTTTTTTAAAAAAAGAAAAGAAAAATGTGCGCTCTTTAAATGTTATAACTTATTTATAATGTGCTGAGGAAATGGACAGAGGGGTTCTTTTCCAAAAGCCTTCATGCTTTCTGGAGAGAATCTGTCCTCTTTTCCTTTTTATTCCTCCAGTCGGGGCATCCTGTCCTTCAAGAGGAGGGGTGGAATTTAAAAAGAAAAAATCAGCCACAAAAATGTTTCGAAACATTTACAGTATATCTCTATATAAGCTCATGTATCTTTCTGTCTTTGGAAGTGTCTAGTCTGTGATGGGGGTCCATATCGCTGGCCTGTCTCGGTTCTCGGGCCAGTTCTGAGCCTCTTCTTCTTTTTTTCCTCCTTTCTCTCTTTCAATGTGGGTGAAGTTCACTTTTAAAAGGGTATATACGATTGGACCAACCATAGTAATGTCGAAAATAATGTTTGTAAATACTAGACATATTTCTGCGGTGACTCATAGGAAGTTTTAGTGGGCAGGGTGAATTCCGTGTTCTGTGTCTCTGAAAATGGCATTTGTCACGTCTAGCTGCCTGTTCTCATCTTTGCCAAGAAGCTTTTCGTATGCATTGTAGCCTTAACTTGAAGTCAAATAAACGTTGCTCCGGGCCAGGAAAAAAAACAACAACCTCACACCTTCTTTTGTGTTTTCTTTATACCACACCGTTAGAAAGTCGCAACAACGAAGTCTCCCCCGATCACGCACTCTTCCCAAACCACAGAAAAGTCATGTCTTCACACGATGCCAGCCACCTTCGCCTAGAGGCCTTTCCCTAACCTTCCAAAACCCAGGATACACCACATCTCACTTTCAGACGCTGTTGCTGTCGCGCAGGACAAACACAACTCCGAGAGGGGAAAGAAAAAGAAAACAAGGGCCTTCCTCCTGTTCCCAAACTTCGCTTCCTTCCTTTACACCCCGACCCTGACCCGTGTTTACTCGACAATCAGTCCCCATTTGTTTCAATGGCACGTACTTCCATGTCCCCTTGCTTACCCGCCCCTCCAACCTTGAAAAATCCATAAACCAAACTCTTGGGAGGGGAACAGGAGTCTATCTTAACGTGGAACAAAAATGCATTCTGAATTTCCAGAGCTAAGTCTCCTATGATGTCTTAGATGGCAGGATCGTTTATATAGAGCTCTTCACGCACACATAAAACGCATAGACATATGGATGGTAACAGGGCGCATATATGTTCCACCAACATGAAAATCGCAGCTGCCTCACTTTTAAGTTTCGCTTTCAATACAGACAATTTCAAACATCATGGGGGTTTTTTGCACCAAGACTTCTTGTTTTACTGAGCAGGGTTCCCATCTCTCCCACCCCCCACCCCCGGCCCAACCAAAGAGCCACCATTAAGAAATCGCTCCGGATACTCTACAATACTAACTTCAGAGCCGTCTGCCCGGTAGGAAGTAAAACGAGTCTCGTAAACTTACCCCAAGAACTCTTTAGTTACTTCTGAAATGGTTTTGAGAGGAATGGGACGCCAGTTGTCATTTTCCAAAAAACCCCCACAACCCCACTTCCTCTCCTTCCCTCGGATACCCACCCAGATAAGCGCGCGCGCGCGCACACACGCATATATTTTACCCACACCCAAAGTTAAGTAAGTATACCAAAAGTAGCTGTGACATTAAGATGTCAAATGGATAGGGTTTTATCTCGAAGTTAGATCGTAAAAATCGCCGAGACCTCAGCCAGATACCCCTTACTGGCTCTCAAAAGTCACGTGAGGTCCATAAAGTTAGTTTTATGGTTTTGGGGAGTTGACAATGTACAATATATTTCACATTCTCTAGAATGTTAAGTGACATTTTAACGGCCTGCTCTGGCTTGGAAGGGGGCAGGCATGGGAGCGGGCTGTTCCAGGCGAGAGAAAGCCTTCTCCATGGCTGGGAGTAGGAAGCCACTGACGGCGCTGTGTTTACTCCAAAGAGGACTTAGAAGCGGGCTTAGCCTTAAAAGAAAGTAAGTTTCTCTTGAAATGCTATCTGCTTAAATGACTTTTAAAGGGCTAGATGGCTAGAGGGGGAGGAGGCGGGGGAGCGGGAGGGGGAGGGGAGTGGTGAAGGGGAGGCATGGCGTCTCCAACTTCCTTCTTTCAAGAAACTCACTGAGATCAAAATCGGCCAGGCCCCAGGTCTACCCTGGGGTGGCCCACGAGATTTTTTTAAACTTCTTTTTTAAATGAAAGCGTAAATTCGGTCGAAGAAAGGGAATGAGTCCATCCAGATGAATGGTGGTGCCATTGCTGCAGAGCGCTGCGGTGGTTTTCCCCCTCATGTCTGGGAGGGGTGCCGCCTGTATGTCAAGAGACTGACCCTGGGAAGTTTTTGGAGGGCACGCT